GGGGTTACCACATACATCAAACCTACAGTCCAATCTGTTGCACCCAATCAGCCTATCAGAAGGCGAGCTGAGTTTCTTGCACCACTAAGCAAAGCTAGTGACCCTTAGGATTGAATTTCCACAAAGCATAACTTCGTGCGGCGGCAAGGGAAAGATCTCTTACAATTTTTTCATTTCCCATTGAAATTTTTTATGAGGTTTGACAAGCAATACAAGAGTCTTACCAGAAGAAAAAGAAGAAGTGACCAAGTATAATGCCTGATACATCCTTTGACCCAACAAGTTAGAGAAGGTCTTCAATTATCATTTTGACGATTAACATGTCCTAATTCACTGAAAATGCACCATAAAAAATAAAAGAACTAACTTCAGTATTAGGAAAGTGGCTCAATAGTCCTTAAGCATGGCGGATACAAGTATTTTCACACCCGGTGCATCACGGTATGTTCTCTATGAAGCGACAGTAATCGCCGTAATATTTTTTACAGGGGATTACTGCTGTTGGTTGATAGAATAATGCTTCATCTATCTTTCTTGCAATTCTTCCCTTCCATTTCTTCTTCTGTGGAGCTTCCAGAAATAGAATAATGTCGAGACGAGGTATTTCCTTACGATTTTTGCTTCATTTGATGATCATAGCAAGCGGACGGGACAGAAAACGCAAGAAATATGGTACTGGAACGTGGTGAGAAAATGTTTCAGTCTTGTGATAAAAGACAATGACAGACAGATTAGATTGGTGAAGACGAAACAATGGAAAGAGCCACTAAAGTTGGCCATTGACTTCTGAGAATCTTGAGATGACAGAAGCCTCCATAACGAGTTATACTTGTCACAAAGAAATGCCAGAATAGAAAGACAAACGATTTGAGAGAAAGTTTTGCATGTTGAGTCGTCTGCTCATCGCTATTTTATTACTGTAAGTTACAGATATTTCATTTTCCTTGCACGTGTTGGTTATGGTGGGTGAGAAGTTCGTAGGGGAATGAGATATTGAGAATCCAGGACAAGGAGGACAGAATCGTTGTTGGAATTGAACTTCTTCAGGACATCGTATTCGTGAAATGCAGATGTTGGAAACTCTTGGTAGGGTAACGAACCAATCATGTTTCATTTTTCCACTTGTCGGCCAGAACAGAAGTAATATAACACGAAAGTTATTGACAACCATAGAGTCTGGGTACAACTTTCACCAATACAATCCAAAGGCTAGCTACTGCTGGTAACACGAGCCAGCTCTTAAACAAAATTCAGACCGAATTCGTAAACTTCTGTCTTCATAGGCTTGCCAATCCAATTTTTGCGCAGTTATTAGGCTGCGCGACATGCTGATACGTGCGCAGGAGCAGTTACTGCTCGAAATGATTCTTTTTGATTACGTGCCGGAATTGATCCGAGCATTTTAAGGCGTTTGTTAACGGCCCAAAATTCCATCCCTGGAATAGAAAAAAAACAGAAATGCGTTTGGTAACACCACAAAATTTCTTTTTATTAATAATATTTTTAAATATTTTAATATTTCTTTCTTTTTTTTCTTTTCTTTTTTTCTTTTTCTCCTTCTTGGCCATAGCCTGCTCTGCCGCCATGACTAGTAAAATATTTTTTATTAATAATATTTTTATTAAAAGTATTTTTTTTTTTTTGGCCATGGCACAGTCGCCGGCCATGACCGGTAAAATATTTTTTTTATTAATAATATTTTTATTTTTTTTGGCCATGGCCGGTAAAATATTTTTTTTATTAATAATATTTTTTATTAAAAAATATACATTTTTATTTTTTTGGGCCATGGCCTGGTCGCCGGCCATGGCCGGTAAAATAATTTTTTTTATTAAAAATATATATTTTTATTTTTTTTTGCCATGGCCTGGTCGCCGGCCATGGCTGGTAAAATATTTTTTTTATTAAAATATTTTTATTAAAAATATATTTTTTTCTTTTTTTTTGCCATGGCCTGATCGCCGGCCATGGCCTATAAAATATTTTTTTTATAATAATTTTTTTATTAAAATTTTTTTATTAAAAATATACATTTTTATTTTTTTTTGCCATGACCTGATCACTGGCCATGGCCGATAAAATATTTTTTTATTAAAATTTTTTTATTAAAAAATATATATATATATATTTTTTGCCATGGCCTGTAAAATATTTTTTTTATTAATAATTTTTTTATTAAAATTTTTTTATTAAAAATATACATTTTTATTTTTTTTTGCCATGACCTGATCGCTGGCCATGACCGGTAAAATATTTTTTTTATTAATAATATTTTTTATTAAAATATTTTTATTAAAAATATATATTTTTTCTTTTTTTGACATGATTTGGTCACCGGCCATGGCAGGTAAAATATTTTTTTATTAAAATATTTTTATTAAAAATATATTTTTTTCTTTTTTATGGCCATGGCCTGGTCGCCGGCCATGGCCGGTAAAATATTTTTTATTAATAATATTTTTTATTAAAATTTTTTATTCTTGTCAGATCCGGCGAGGGCAGTCCTCGGGCCGGATATTGGAAGCTAAATTAAAAACCAAGAAAAGGAAAAAGAAAAAAAAATTGATTCTCAAAATTGTTCCCAGAATCAAGAAGCTACTTTTTTTTTATTCTTGATTCTGCTCCAAAACTGATTCTGGGAACAATTTTTGACAAAATTGTGCCCAGAATCAAAAAATTAAACAAACGCATTTCTGTTCCCAAACTGATTCTGAAAACAAAATAACAGAATCAAACACTGTTTGGCAAGTTGTCATGCGCAGCCTTAGCTTCTCCTCCCTAATTCCGGCTTCAGATTCGCCTCTCATTCAATGTACTGAAATCAATTGGAAGTCCATCCAAGTGAATCTTTTTTAAGGTTAAATTTCCCGGATAGGTGCAGGGCCATGGTAAAGCCATGGTCAGAAGCAACTGCAGCATACATTCTTCTTTAATGTAGTTGATATAAATTATGACAATACAGTACGAGTAAATGTTTTCCTAGCAGATAGCACGCAACAGTCGACAAAATATTTGGTCGTACTTGAGAAGAATAAACAGTACATCGGAGTTCTAAGACTATGGCAAATCCAGAACTCAGTACCAATTTGCTATTGTCTCTTGTAAAGAAATTGCAAAAACGATCATCATGTCCCAGTGCCATTAGTGAGGCAACAGCTTTTGGAGTCTCTACGATATATTCGGTGAATTAGTGTGCATGAACCACAAAATGCTCACAAAGCAGGAGAGGAGACATGATTTGCAAGAGACAATATTTTCACACCCCTCAATGCAACAGATATGACCTGAAATTCGACAATTTTAACAATATCCTCCAGCAAACACAAGATTGATCTGCACATCCTCTCCTACTGAACCCAACCACAAATGATGCCGGACAAAGTCCCATTTCATGTCAACCTTCAGCTTCAATTAAAGTTGAAAGAATTAAAATAGGTATGAGCTATAAACCATTACAACAAAGGACGTGATTCTGCAGGAAATAGCTCAACAAAACATATGCATCTAAGACTTCCTAAATCTCCACGACTTTAGCATTGTGATCCGAAAACGTAAAGAACTTCAGCAGGATCTTCCATTTTGTTGGCAAGCACATTGAGAGCCTCTTGAAAATGGTAGTAGGGTAGTAATTCTGTTTCCCAGACAGGTCCTGATCTACTAAAACAAATGAACTATATGACACGAAGATGGTCTTACTAACTAGAAGCATAAACTCACTGAACCAGCACCAAATGTTGACTCCTTGTTGGCTAAACAATAGTACAACTGATTATGGCAGAATCCACATCCAAATGCACATTAGATCATACATCCTTTACGGAGGCAGCCAGCAGGATATAGTTACATTACTCATATATATACAATGCAATTTTAGAATATTGTTGAGACACATGTTTGCTGAAACATGACTCCACCCACTTCCTATATTCATTCTGTCAAAATTATTGGAGAATTCTTTGAAGTGAATGCTTTGTGATAAACCTAGCTCATCATTAACCACACGCTTCCTAAATTGAGCATGAATGACTAAACAAACACCCCCCCCCCCCCACACCGGGCAGAGCATAACAAACCCTTTCTTCCCAAAGCTCAACTCAACCTCCAAAATCCAATTCAATCTCAACGCCACCCTAACCATAGTGCTATATATGTCAATAACCTGAGATTATCATAATTTACCTTGAAACAATTCTAAAAGCCAAATGAATTGATGCCGGAACTGCATTAACACTAAGTTGGCAGGACTGACACATTAAGTACCGGTAATTCCAGAGCCATCTGAATTCTTAATCTTCATACATGTTCCTTACAATTTTGATAGATCACCAAGAACGTACATATATATGCATGGGCACTCCAGTGCCCAATATTTGTCATTCACTTGAGGTCTAATGGAGAGAAGACCAACAAAGAACCCTATGACTATTGTTAGCACCCTGCAAACATTTTGGGCCAACAAGAAATAAGCAAGTATATGCTAATAGACCTAACTAGGCCTTCACTGAAGCAAACTCCAGTTCACAAAACATCTTCCAAAATAATCAGGTATATCTTGCAGTGTTGGCAGCTCCCTTCATCCTCGTTATTCTTGGAAAGGACAATATGATCCAAATCTTCCATTGTAACCACGAATACAGAAAATCTATCAAAACTCAAACCGCAAAAAGAACTACATGTGCAGTCCTGGATAAAAAGAGTCAAATTGGGCAGCTCACCATATCTTATAGGTACCTAATATCCAATTTAAATTAGTCTCTGATTAGAGGAACTTCCAAAACTCATCAAACTATACAGAAAGCTTCAGAGCTCATCACAAGTATTTTGCTCCCACAGTTCTCTTCACTCATCAACCTAAAATAATCATTCGTCTAGATCGAATTTCAACATCCAAGCCGATTCCCAACTGTTGCACAATAAGCGAGTCCAAGTAGAAATGCACCATAAACAAATCGAATTCCAAATATTGGAAGACAGAATAACAGATCAAGAAACTCAAGGTATCAGGATTAAAGAATTCATTTTCGAAAAGAAATCAAGATCTCACATTTAGAAGAATTCATAGATCTAACTTCATCAAAGAAAAGTCACAAGATCTTACACCGAATTCTGACGCAAGAATCAAACCGACCTAAACCAAAACAAGTCCAAAACCCTAACAACAAATGAATCATCACTTTACCATACTAAAAGGATAGGGAGATCAAATTAACCTGACCAACCCCATAGATCGATTATACAACCCAGCTCTACACCCGTGCGGCAACTGCCGGTGCAGCCGCTGCGGCAGCGGACGAGGCGGCACCGCTGAGGAACGACAGCAATCCGGCATTTGCAGGCTGCTCATCGTCCAAGAACAGATCCTCAGGAACCCTGAACGCACCGTGCGCGCACACGATAGCGACTCCAATCATCAACGCGGAGATCAACAGCGAACCAACGGTGGTCAAGAACACCACGACGATGGTCAGGAGGACGAGAATCCCCAGCACCTCGCGGTCGGAGAACGTGCGGCCGTAGACGACCAGCGGCTGATCGGACGATCGGAACAGGTAGAGGAAGATCCACGCGGCGAGGAGGGAGAGCAGCACGAGGAGGGAGAACGGGTGAGTGACGAGCGAGAGGGCGAGCACGACGGCGAGGAGGGCGATGTAGTTGACCTTGAAGTAGGAGGCGTTCTTGCGGATCCGGGAGGCGGCCTCGGTGAGGTTGTCGGGCCGGGCCATGGCGGACCGGTCGAGGAGCTCGGACCAGGGGCGGCGCTGGGAGAGGCCCTGCCGGAGGGAGGAGGAGAGGCGGGAGACGAACGCGCGGAGGGCGTGCGTGGCGATGGCCGGCTGGGGCTGAGCCCCCGCCCCCGCCCCCGCGGCGGCGGATTGGGAGGAGATCGGGAGGGTCGGGGCTGAGGCCATCGCGGCGCGTGGCGGGGCGTCGGCGGCGACGGCCGCGCGCGGAGGGGGAGGAGTTGCGACGGCGATGGACGGAGATCTTCTGGGAAGCGCGCAAGCAGAGACACAGAGAGAGAGGAAGGGAGATCTGATGATAGCGAGAAGCTAAAAGGCCTGTGTTGCGACGTCGTATGGGCGACTCAATGTAAGCGAATGCCACCGACGCGGCGACGCCGACGGGGTTCCCAATAATTTCATGGTGGGCGTTTTGCAATTATTTTCTGGCCTTAAATGATATTTAATCGGAAAAATCACTTAAAATGTTGGACTCATTGGGTGTTAATGGGTCGGGTCGGGTCGGATTTTCATAATACCCGATCCAACCCAAAAATATTGAACATGTGTGATTGGCTCGACCCGAGACAAGACCCGAACAAGATATAGCCACACGATCTGACCGGGTCAAGTCGGGTCGGATCTCAAACAAAACATTAAAAGCCATAGAATCACGTCAACTCCTCATGACTCAAGTCTCCTTATAGATGTTTGGACGCATCTCGCAACTTCAATGACAAGGATTAATTTGCATCCAGTGAACCAAGACATTAGTACAAGATGCATCTTGCAACTTCTGCATTTAGCATATGTTTCCACAAGAGCATTTTCGACAAATGGGTCAAAATTCAAACTGCACTTTGTAACCTGGCTATGGAACTGTTGACCATGTTGGAGACTTGCTAGATTCAGTGAAACCGGTGAAATCCAAGCGTACCAAGTCCCTTGCCAAATTCAGTGAATAGAAATTTTCCATAACAAAGACAGGCGATAAAGACTTATAAAGAAAAAAAGTATTAAATGTAGATGGAGACGAATCGTTCCGTAAGAGAGAGAGCGTATCGCAAATTAAAACTTAGGGTTTCAAGTCAGTTTTGGTAAAGTAACGTGTTTCGGTTCGATTCGTGTTCTGACCCAAACCGAACTGAAACATATCACAATACCCATTTTATTACTGTGTACCCGAACATAATAAGAACCGAACCAAAAATACCTTAAAATTTTGGGCCGGTTGGGGTCGGTTCGTGTTTCAATTTGGGTATAGTGTTTGGTCTTGACACCCCTATTGGACTACAATGTCACTGTTACGAGTCCATGACTGCGTTTAGGAATGAGTTTCAAATGGCTGAGGCTGCATTTGGTTGTCCAAGAATTTTATCGTATCCTATCGACTGTTTGGTGAACCGTGGATCTAAAGTTGGATATTTTTATATCTTATCATATCCATTATTTGGTAAAAACTAGATATCAATATAAAGACAACATGAACATGAATCCAACCAATTTAAGTCACAGACAGCATGTTAAAAACATACACAACATTCATAGCCAAGAATCCAGCATATGCTGAACTTATACAGCACTCATAGCCAAGAAACTAACATATTTTTGAACAGGTACAGCAAGAACAGCAATGAATCTAGTAAATTTGAGCCATGAACAGTAAGAATCACGTTCCGCGAGCCTACAATGTGGCAGGTGTACAAATTCAACAAATAGCACATCCTGAAATGAATATTTTGCAAGCTAATAGCGATAACCGAAATAAACCACCATGTACTTGCATGTACATCACGAGCATGATACAAACGATACTCGAACATGTCCATCGCATGTGAAATAGATTCTCGATCCGAATCAGAGCAGTAGTTATTATGCGAAAGAAAAGCTACGACTCCACAGATGAACAATTTGCAATTATAATAGATTTCTCTACATCAACACCTAAACAATTGTGACATGTGCTATTTGAACACCTCAAGCTCAAAAATAAATCCAGAGGCTTTCGGTTACACAATTCAGTTACATAACCAAACTAGTATCCAAGTCACAGAGAACAAAGTAAACCGAAGCACCGAGGAAAAGAGAACTCTCATCGACATTTCATCGAATAGGTTATATGACTTATCTCAAATTCAGATGTGCAACTTGACTCTATCTAGATCAGTACCCAACGTTTGCAATCGAAGCAGTAAACTCACACACAGCAATATCACTGAGTGACACCTAACTCATTCAGAGCCTGTATGTTGTTTGAATGTTTCCCTTTGGATTGCTTCAATCAATACCCAACTTCCCTCGTCGTCAATCTAATCCAATCCTTCGCTGGCCATGGCGTGTCGCGGGAGACGGAGGAAGACTATGAGAACAGGAAAGAAAGTCCCGGAAGACGACATGGAAGATGAAGAAGAGGAGGAAGACCACGGCAAAACTGGCGGTGGGAAGAACGCGGGGGAGATCGAACTTCATAGACCACGTTGTGGATGAGAACGCGGAGGAGGAAGAGGAAGACGACGAGGAGGACAAGGATTTCAGCGACGGCGACAGGAAGAGGCAACGTGCGAAGAGGAGATTGAGGTCGGAGTTCTTCGATCTAGAGGCTCAGGTTGACAACGACGAGCAAGAGGACGAGGATGAGGATGAGGATGCGGACGATGCTGAGGTTGATATGTGAAAGCGCGTTTCTTGGATAAGAGAAATTCTATCTGGCCTATCCCACTCCTCTCTAGAATTTTTTTATCCAAGCTATATTTCTCTTTATTTGGGAAAATTTCAAATAAGGCCCCAAAGTGAATGAGTTTTCTCAAAAGAGGACCCAAAGTGAACGTTGTCTCAAATAAGGGTCTGAAGTGATTATTGAGTTTGAATAGGAGTGCGAAGTGATCATTTGATCTCAAACGGAGTCGACTCGCAGGTCGGCGAGCATGTGCTATTCCGTGGCACGAGCAAGGGTATTTTTGTCCAAAGCCATTTCTTTTTTTTTTTTGTTTCTTTTTCTTTTCCTTTTTTTACTGTTCATCTTCTTCAGGGAGCAAGATTGTGAGCATCATCCTCGTCATGGTCATGGTCAGGTCATCAATGGCGGCCACACGACCCATCCTGTCCATGTGGTCTCCCTCACCTCAAGACTTACGGCATGCTTAGGCGGACGGCGACAGCGAGGGTTGCCTTCGCCACCGACGCCCCGGCAACAACAAGAAATCACCGTACAGAGCAGAAGATTGAAGGGAGGGTCGCCGGCTCGCGGCGAGGAAGCCCTAAAGTCATCTATGTGTGGGAGCTCATGGAAGGCCTCGACGCCGGCGAACCAAAATGGGAAGACTTCGAGCCCGAGGCCGCGGGGACTGCTCCGAGGTCTCGCGAGCATCGACGCGAAGACTCCACTAAAGTTCATGAACCAGATTGGTTCTCCGAGGAAGGCAAACACTTAACGGAGGCAAGGAAAACAATGGGAACGCAGAAAATGGGTCGAATCAGGTACGGGGAGATCCGATGTCATCCCGATTCGTAAACAATCCACGCCTGAATCGCCTTCCCACTCTTCAGATTCAGATCTAGAACTTGAAGTTCTGACGGCGTCGAGCTCGATAGAGAGGAGGTAGTTGAAGAACTGACGTTGCTGGCGTTGAGGAGGCCCAGATATTGATTGGGCAGGGCTCAGAGGTCCATGGTAGCAAAGACGGCGAAGGTGAGGCCATGGCCGTTGAGATTCGAGTGCTCGGTGACTGCAATGAAGACGAAGGAGGAGACGTCGCCACCCTTTGAGTTTTTGAACTGGAACGGGAGTAGTAGAAAGCGTGGCCCATCAGGCGACTCGCCTCGTTGGTGAGCTTGAGGACGCCATTGTTGTTGAAGAAGAAGATGGAGGTGAACTCAAGAGCTGCAACTTTCCTCCAAGCGCAAGCATGAAGAAGATGAACAGTGAACAGATAAAAAAAGAAATATCTTTGGACGATTATGCCCCTAGTTGTGTCGCCGGAAGATTTGAGGTCCTTATTTGAGACTAAATGATCACCTCGGACCCTTATTTGAGACAACGTTAACTTCAGGTCCTCTTTTGAGAAAACTCATCCACTTTGGGGCCTTATTTGAAATTTTCCCTCTTTATTTTGTCCTAAATAGCTACCAAAATCCTATCCTGACTTTTATTATTTGGATGACCAAACGCATCTTTAGATTGGCAATATTTATGTTCTTGACAACAATTTCTTTTTCAGAATTAGTTTTTTACATTTTAATTCCCCGGATGAGTTTTTGATTAGATGAACGCGTTTGATAATTGCACAAAAATTTTTTTTTTTTGGTAAGGAAATAATTGCACAAAATTTATATTATCAGAATAGAGAAAAATAGAAAAGCGCTTGGTACGACCCTAAAATTTTTTCTTGCGATAGAATAGAGGAGGAAGAAGAAGGGAGGAAAAAAAAATTAGAAAAATTTCAAAAAATTATTAAAAATCCACATCATAAAAATATTTTAGGGTCGTACCAAGCGCTTTTCTATTTTTCTCTATTCTGATAATATAAATTTTGTGCAATTATCAAACGCGTTCATCTAATCAAAAACTCATCCGGGGAATTAAAATGTAAAAAACTAATTCTGAAAAAGAAATTGTTGTCAAGAACATAAATATTGCCAATCTAAAGATGCGTTTGGTCATCCAAATAATAAAAGTCAGGATAGGATTTTGGTAGCTATTTAGGACAAAATAAAGAGGGAAAATTTCAAATAAGGCCCCAAAGTGGATGAGTTTTCTCAAAAGAGGACCTGAAGTTAACGTTGTCTCAAATAAGGGTCCGAGGTGATCATTTAGTCTCAAATAAGGACCTCAAATCTTCCGGCGACACAACTAGGGGCATAATCGTCCAAAGATATTTCTTTTTTTATCTGTTCACTGTTCATCTTCTTCATGCTTGCGCTTGGAGGAAAGTTGCAGCTCTTGAGTTCACCTCCATCTTCTTCTTCAACAACAATGGCGTCCTCAAGCTCACCAACGAGGCGAGTCGCCTGATGGGCCACGCTTTCTACTACTCCCGTTCCAGTTCAAAAACTCAAAGGGTGGCGACGTCTCCTCCTTCGTCTTCATTGCAGTCACCGAGCACTCGAATCTCAACGGCCATGGCCTCACCTTCGCCGTCTTTGCTACCATGGACCTCTGAGCCCTGCCCAACCAATATCTGGGCCTCCTCAACGCCAGCAACGTCAGTTCTTCAACTACCTCCTCGCTATCGAGCTCGACGCCGTCAGAACTTCAAGTTCTAGATCTGAATCTAAAGAGTGGGAAGGCAATTCAGGCGTGGATTGTTTACGAATCGGGATGACATCGGATCTCCCCGTACCTGATTCGACCCATTTTCTGCGTTCCCCTTGTTTTCCTTGCCTCCGTTAAGTGTTTGCCTTCCTCGGAGAACCAATCTGGTTCATGAACTTTAGTGGAGTCTTCGCGTCGATGCTCGCGAGACCTCGGAGCAGTCCCCGCGGCCTCGGGCTCGAAGTCTTCCCATTTTGGTTCGCCGGCGTCGAGGCCTTCCATGAGCTCCCACACATAGATGACTTTAGGGCTTCCTCGCCGCGAGCCGGCGACCCTCCCTTCAATCTTCTGCGCTGTACGGTGATTTCTTGTTGTTGCCGGGGCGTCGGTGGCGAAGGCAACCCTCGCTCGTCGCTGTCCAGCCTAAGCATGCCGTAAGTGCTGGAGGTGAGGGAGACCACATGGACAGGATGGGTCGTGTGGCCGCCATTGATGACCTGACCATGACCATGACGAGGATGATGCTCACAATCTTGCTCCCTGAAGAAGATGAACAGTAAAAAAAGGAAAAGAAAAAGAAACAAAAAAAAAAGAAATGGCTTTGGACAAAAATACCCTTGCTCGTGCCACCGGAATAAGCACATGCTCGCCGACCGGCGAGTCAGACCCCTGTTTGAGATCAAATGATCACTTCAGACCCCTATTTGAAACTCAATAATCACTTCAGACCCTTATTTGAGACAACGTTCACTTTGGGTCCTCTTTTGAGAAAACTCATTCACTTTGGGGCCTTATTTGAAATTTTCCCATCAAATAATGATAAAAATTAGCAGCTTAAAACCCCACGTTTTGTTTATGGTCCATTAGCTGATAAAGCAGGGAATCAATCAAATCATCCCTCTCATCCTCTCTGTGTCACCCTTATCCAATCGATTTCCTCCTTAAATGGAAGGCAAAAGTACAAAAAAAGTCTTAAATTTTTTACATTGATGTTAATTGAGTTTTAAATTTTTTATCTTTGTACCAATTCAGTCTTTTCAGCTAATTTTGACCGGATTTTACTGACGTAGACACCGACCGGTGCTGACGTGGATAATTTTATTAATATTTTAATATTTTTTTTGAATTTTTTTCTTTTTTTTTTCTCTTCTCCCTCTTTACTCCAGCTGGTTGCCGATCCGAAAAATATTAATAAAAATTATCCGCGTCAACGCCGGCCGTGTCACGTCAGCCAGTTGACTTCCACGTCAGCAAAATCCGATCAAAATTAGTAGAAAAGATTAAATTGGCACTGTATAAAAAGGTTTAGGACTTTTTTAACACTTTTCTCATCAAAATCCGGTCCATGACTTTGTTAATCGGTCATAGACGCTAAGGATAAAAGTATAGTGCCTATTGGGAGTTTCCCGCGAGACGAACCCCAAGTTAGGCAGAAAAAAAGAAGAGGGAATACGATGCCCTTTGACAAAAATGCTAAAAGAGTCCAAAAGAAATCCAAGGAACTTATTTAATAGAGGATGCATTAAATTAGAATAATTCATTGTTTTGTGCTAATCATAATCTATAAAACCACATAAGTTTCAAATAAATCCGGATTCCTCTTAAATTTATAAGATTTTTTTTTGGTCTTATCATATTCTAACTTTCAACTTACTTTCAGATTTTTGTTCTGTCTCTTTGTAGAGCGTGGAAGCCGAACCTAATACTTAAAACTAAACATCCCCACCCCTAACCCCCAAATTTATAAGGTTGCTAATTAAATTTGTGCAAATTTTCTTCGTTCCCCCTTTTTTTTAATCCCTTAATAATTTAATAAGAGTAATTATAGCATATATCACCTGTATTTTGACATTTTACAACTCCTAAAACAGCACAGCACTCTCTCTATATATCCAATATGATCATCGACACACAAGACTCACCCACGCAAAAACACGAAGTTCTTTTCTTCATCAATGGCTTCTTGCAGCTTCCCAGAAGTACATGCTTGGATTCAAAGCCTTCCTCCACTGTCTCAATGGAGGACGAAATCGCTGTCCTTGTGCCTGTGTTCTTCTTCTTCTTCCTCTCAACCCCAACCATCCCTCAGTCTCTCCATTTCCAGAAACCCCGATTCGCCCGCCGTCACCTTCTCTATCGCTTTCGAGTTCAACCTCCACATATCTCTGTGGACCTCGAGGCTGTATAGAATCAACCCTAGCTCTCCCAGATTGCTTGATGAGGAGGCCATGTTCGGTCTCCTCTGCAACTTCATCGAAGATGTTCTCCGCTACGGCTCGTACAAGAACGGTTCTTCTACGTCCTCGCCGAAGATCCCGAAACCCTATTCGTATTCCTACTTCAGCGACATCTTTAACCTGGCCTTCCTCACTCTCTCGCTCTTGATTTGCATCTATGAGGCGCCTGCGAATCTCCGCTCCTCATGTCTCGACAGTCTCAAGGGTCACTTGATCAACTGTCGATCGCGAAACGAGTCGAAACTGCTCATGAATTTCATTGGACCGAACCTAGAGGAGCAGTGGATGCGATCCGTGAACCTAGCGATCACCAACTGGATTCTAGAGCGTCAATCTATGAACCACATGATCAAAGCACCGTCCCCGCTTTTCTCCTATGTGCTTTCGGCTTTCGGGATGTGGAAAGTTCATCTTTATTGTCCGATCATCGCGATGGACGTGGTGAATACGAGCAATCCCTCAATCGATGAACGGCTTGCTTTCTCTCTGAACTATAACCAGCTTGAAGGAGTAATCCAGTTCAATTACAAACTGACGATCCGAGAGAATTGGGTTGATGTGTTCGTGGACACGGATAACATAAGGTATTACTTCAGTAACACTCTTTGATGATCATGTAGTGATTTCTTACACGCAGTTTTGATTCTATAGAAGAGTGATAATTATGCTCATGTGCTTTCTTTAGGTTTGACATCGTTCGACTTGTATCCGAAACTCTCATGAATGAACAAGGGGTAGGAGCATCTGAAAAGCACTTCCCTTCAAGAATATCGCTGCAACTAACACCGGCTGTTCAGAACAACATCCTGAGTGTTTCGGTGGGCAAGTCTTCGGAGAACCCAACAAGAGAGATCAGCTCGGAGAAAGCCATAGAAGCGGGATTTGAACCACCAAACTCTTACTTGGGTCTCAAGATTTCGGCCGGAGAGACCATAACCACGAGCTTAAAGCCATGGAAGTTTGAGGAATCTGTCCTGGGCTACAGTGCAAACTTGAATTGGTTTCTCCATGACCCAATTGATGGAAGAGAGGTCTCCTCTTCTAAGCCCTCGAGACTTGCTTTGCTCAATCCAAAGGCTTGGTTCAAAGACCGATACTCGAGCGCGTATCGGCCGTTCACTCGACAAGGAGGAGTTGTTTTTGCCGGCGACGAGTACGGCGAGGGCGTGAAGTGGAAGCTATGCAAAAGCGCCATGGGAAAGACAATGGAGTGGGAGATAAGAGGCTGGATTTGGTTAAGTTATTGGCCAAATAAGCATAGGACATCCTATAGTGAGACTAGGAGGTTGGAATTTAGGGAGACCCTACACCTTACGATTGCTTAGCCAATTTGTAATAGCACGAGAATAATTTATGGCAGAACTTTTTTGGCTTTTTTCGTTATATAATAGAAAATGCGCTCACAATATGCCCTTTTTCCACCTCGGCTGAAATTGCTGTAAATAAAAGGAATTATATCAAAAGTGTTTTTACTAATTGTAGTCTTTGAGTGCTTAGTATTTAACAAATACTTTCGAATCACTAGAGCATATAAGTTTGGCGAGATCAAATAAGGAATATGATCTTTTCTGAAAGGAATATCGAAAGTACAAAAATTTCGAAAGGAATCCTTGGACTTTTACGAGAGAGTACCGTTGGTAAGCAATTGCAGTGGACCCGGCAAAAGAATGAGGCCCGACTCGCTAGTAGCCCGAACCCACTCATTTTCCATAGATAAATTGAAAAAATAAAGGGAAAATTACACAAATAATTTATAAACTTTGGTCCAATATCCAATGCTGTCCTTGAAATTTAGCTCAACGGACATTTGGTCAATATGGTCCCGAACTCTTAATAAATGTTCAATCTTAATTATTGAATTATTATATACCTTGATTCAATTTAGTTTTCGAATTATTTAGCCCAGGGATTATATATATATTTTTTGGTGTAACAGGGACTAGATTGAATGCGTACTGAAAATTTAGGAACTATATTGAATAAATTAAAAATTCAAGAACGGCATGATCTCATTGATCAAAATTCATGAACCTTAAATCCCATGTTCCCAAAAAGAAAATGAACGTGACGTGGCACCTCCGGGCGCACGTTAGCGACGGTGGAGCTAAAGCTGGGGAAGGGAGAAGGGCGGACACTTCGAAGCTAATAATAACAACAGCTCAGTAGTCTCCAACTGCGCAAACCAACCCACTCCCCCCACACAAACGCCCCCAAAAAAACAAAAAAACAAAAAAAAAGGAAGGAAGAAGAAAATCGAAGCCAATAAATTCCTCATCTCACCTCATCTCCGGCATTTCCGCTTTGCTGCATTTGATTTCGCATTCGCGTCTCGTCCATTCGATCGTCGCTCCGTGCTTCCCCCTTCCATGGAGTCCTCCGCCGCTCTGCGATCCTTCCACGGTACGTATCTCCCGCCGCCGTTCCCGCTTTTTACCTTTTCGCCTTTTGCGAAGCGGCTCCTGGGCTGCGCCGCCGTGAGTTTCGAATGCAGCCGGGCCGGACCGGATTGATTCTGAGCTCTCGTGTTTCGTCGATGTTGTTGTTGCTGCTGCGGACTCTGGAGTGTTTTCTGTTTTGCTCGGTTTCGTCGGTCCGAAGTTGAAACGGAGCTCGCAGCTCGGATCGCGCTGAGCTTGTTTCGTGGTCGTTGATGTCCTTTTGCCGAGCGAGCTCGAAGCATCCGCACCTGTGACGGATTTTGTGTATGTTCGTGAAGCTTGTGATTTCCGCGGCGTTGGTGAATCTGATTTGGCGATCCGTTCTGTGAATATATATATTACTGGATGGCCGTCGTTTCGCTTCGCATTCGCCGTGCGATAGTTGTGTGGTGTTTGCGTTTGTGTGCGCAGATGAAATTAAGTTAGAATAGGGATCGAGCATTTGTGAAGGAGTTGATAATATTCAGGTAGCGATTTTTATTGAGTGTTTGGAATTGCAGATTTTGCGGGGACTCTATCTCGCGCGGAGTCGCTACCTCATAAGCCTGGAGCGATTCCCGTGCAATCATGTGCGCCCCCTTCGAACAAATTGTGCATCCAAGGTTTTGCCGCGCATGGGATTGCTCCCTTAAGGATAAGGAGTGCAGCTATTGTATCCTGTGTGAAGACTTCGGAAGCTACTGGCGTGGCCAAGTCCAGTGGTTAGATTTATCTGTTTCAAGTCGACTTGCCTTTTATAGTTATCTGATTGGGAAATTGACCAGTGTCATTTGAATCTGTTCCCTTGGTATGGCATGTCCTATTTGTGTTATTGGCATGATGAAATTAGGTGTCTGTTAACTATGAAAACCTTGTTATTCACATGGTTGGGATATTCCTGCTCTCTGAACCTACTATCTGCAGGGAAATCTCCACTCACTGTTTCCTGTAATATCCTCCCATGCTAGTTTTTAGTTCATGGGTTTCTACTTTAAGTAAGAAACTTTACTTACAACGTAACAATGAGATCTACTTTTTGCTAGTAGAAAATTTTGCTCCTCTAGCAAAATATGCATTCCAAAGGGAGTATATTTACTGTACTGGAGCACTGAATGAGTTGACCAAGTGTAGCATGGACTTGTCTTGTGGCTGAACTTGTATTGAGTTTTCTTTCTGCTGCTTATATCGAGCATGCTGTCATGTCTCTGAATTGACCTGTTTGAACTGAGAAACTCCACCCGAAAGGCATTCTGATTTTCCAAAACTCTTGACTGTCTATTGTGTATTTCATGCAAAACAACTCCCTCCATAATTATCCTAGCATTTGATGACGTTTCCATCTAAATTGATATTGAGGCATGATGCTTTTTCCCCATCAGAAGGCAACACTCAAGACTCAAAGAACAAGACTGCTTTGCCAAGGGCAACTTTTCCTAGTGGTTTTGAGGTGGGTCTCATTGAAGCATACATTTCGGTTTTATATTTTTTGGTATCATTTTCAACTGCTTTGTCTTCTCATATGGTCCCTTTAACGCCTTTTTAAGAGTCGCTTAGCTATGACAATTAAAAGAGTGTCTTGCAATTCAGATTTGCACTTGAAGCCTTATTACAAACTGCAAGAGAAGTGCATTTTTTAAACTAAATATCTTTGAAAACTGTATAACACCCACCCCCCCTCCTCCCCGGGCAAAAAAGGTTTAAAAAAAAAGCACAAAGGGGAAACAAATGTAGCTGATTTTAACTTTGAGCCATGCTAATCAATTTGATTTCAGGAATTGCTACTGGAGGTTTGTGACGAGACTGAGATTGCTGAACTAAAACTAAAGGTAACACTCATTGTTGCTTGGCTAGATGGTAGTATGACACTTGCCTTAATGCTGAGATCAAGTATTGTCATGAAGGTTCTCTTCATGACACACAATGTTGTTTGCAGTACTATGTATGTTTTTTTTTTTTGGTCGAAGCAGTACCATGTATGTTGATAAACAATAAATGTAATATTACTTTTTTGCACTAGTCACATATAAGATGTGTCATCTATAGTTATAATGTCCTTGAATGCTGACGTTCTTTGGTTGGATGCTAGTGAATGTTGCCTTCAATACTGAAACTGGGACGGTGGGTTGTATTCTGGGAGATACGTGGATGTAGCAATATAATTCACTTTAGGCGTAGACATTTTGTTAGGTACTCCCAAAGAAGGTTTATAAAAAATCCACGTGCCTATTTTGATGGCAGGCAATATTTTGATTTCACAGCATGTGTTTTCGATTGTTATTGAGCCTGGCATGTATAATCACCTATGTCGAAAATTGGGGCGGTGGGGAAGCAGGGGAAAAGAGATCATAGGAAAAAGATTAAATGATGTTGAATAGAAACAGAGAATGTTCAGGTTGCCTAATTGACAGCAGATATCTCAAATGATAAAGGAAAAATCATCAGACAGACCAGACAAAACATGCATATTACTATTTACTTTTGGTGGGGGGTGTTGGGTAGCGTAGTAAAAGAAAGCATTATTGCTTTCAGATATCATCTGTACTGTAATCCAGAATAAAATCCTTGCGTTCCTCAAATTATGACGACAGTAATTGCAGAGGAGTAGTCCTGTGAATCTTAATAATATCAGTTAATTCAGAGGACAGCCTTTCACATGAGGTCAGTAAATCTGTGACTTAACTTTGTACTCCTTCTTAGATTGGAGACTTTGAAATGCAAGTGAAGCGGAATTTAGGGGCCACAAAAGCATTCACTTCCATTCCATCACCCACAACACCACCGCCTATCCCATCTGAACCAATGGAGAAATCGGGTGCAGTTGTTCCACCACCAAAACCTTCTCCAGAGAAGACAAATCCATTTACAAATGTCTTATTCGGAAATTCTGCAAAGTTGGCAGCTTTGGAAGCATCAGGATCAAGTGGATATGTTCTAGTATCTTCTCCTACGGTGGGTGCTTTATCTGCATCGTAGAGATTGTCTATGATAACGTGGGATTTGCTATGTGTCTCATGCTACTAGTTGCAGGTTGGTTCATTCCGACGGGGGAGAACATTGAAAGGGAAAAAGCAGCCTCCTAGTTGTAAAGAGGTATTATTTGCAATAAAGTAGTGTAGCTTTATTTTCTTTGGGTTATGAAGTTTAATAATAACCGGACAAACTCACCATTTCTTGATGGAATCCCTTATGGTTGGTTTGACCAAAAGCTAATATGACTGATTAGCAATTAAATTCCGATCCTGTACTTCTCAATTTGAGCTTTTGTTCGGGGCTTAAAAATCTGTTCTAATTTCCTCAATACTTGGAATACCCTTTCAAAAAAAAAAAAAAAATTAATGCATGACCAAGATGCAGGTGCAGCATGTGATGAGATCCATGTTACCGATCTTGGCATTTTGTTACTAACCTGCAATATAGAAGAGTTTGTATCCTCTGGAAATCCGCCTCAGGAAAGGAAACTGGTAGCCTTTTAGGGTTCAAATCTTTGCACTTTGAGCTTGTGCTAGCTATCAATCCCTTTTTCAGACAATATTGTGAAGATTTACTCTCACGGTGAAATGTCAAAAATCATCAAATAATGACAGTGTGGCATATCCGAGATAATTTTGTCACTTGTTGCCCATGTCTTCAGTCACCTTTGCCTCAATTTTTTAAAGTTAACAAGTGTCTTATCACAGGGTGATGTAATTAAGGAAGGACAGGTGATAGGATGGTTGGATCAATTTGGAACTGAACTTCCGGTTAAGGTAACTCCTGGTGAAACACGTATATTTAAATGATGTCGTCGGTATCCGCAATACTTTCTCCTATTAACTCTTTGTAATTTACTTTGAGCAGTCAGATGTGTCTGGAGAAGTTCTGAAGCTCTTAGTTAATGATGGAGGTACGAATTTCTGTGATCTTTGGTTTCAACAATTTCCTTTCTCTACTCGACTAATATGCCACAATTGTACTTCTGTAAGGCTGTTTGATCTGCAAGCAGTGAGCAATTCTAGGATTAGCAAGCACATCCTGATACTGATTACTTCATTAGTTATATTGTAATTTAAGTAGGTTAAGATCCCCCTGTATAAGCATTATGTGAAATGTACGTATGGTGAGTTCTCCTTATTTCCGAATAGTTGTTGCCTTGTTTTGGGGCCAGAAAAGGTAAATTTTGCTACTTTCTGAGGTCGAAGTACGTATGGCCTATATTACATCCTCTGAATATACTTCGTGTCATTTAGATGCCTTTTGAAAAGCTGGGATAATATGATAAACTTGAGATAGTAATACATCCAAAAGAAATATATACAGTGAATACTTTTTTTTTTTGGTAAGGACAGTGAATACATTTTCCACTTGCTTTAGCATAATAAGCCATATCTAGAAGATTGAATTTGTGCTGGAAATTGACTTGGTCTAGGACGTCAAGAACATGAAGTTTCTTGCATGTGTTTGGATGGGTGAGTTGGTTGACAACAATGGGAACTGAACTTGGTGAAAAATGAACCGTACTAGTGATTATCATGGTTAGTAGTATTCCATGGACTAATTTTAAGAGTTCACAGATGTACCAAGAAATGATGCATGCTTTGGGGTGTTCTTTCCTGTGCGTACCTGATGTCATTCCCCGTGATGGATTTGTGATTTTACAGAACCTGTTGGTTATGGAGATCCTCTCATTGCTGTCCTGCCAGCATTTCATAGTATCAAGTGAGCCGGCGCGCTGTCCGCTGTTGGGTTTCACACCTTTTTTTAAAGAGGTTTAAGGATTGCAGTTTATTTCCTCTCCGGTCCCATTATTCTTTGCATCATTTCAGTGCAATGATGTAGCTGGCGACATGTAATTTTTTTTTTCTCCATATGCTTTAAATCAGTCTTAATTGCTAAAGATCCAGAAATAATCACTAGGCCTGGAGAATGTGAGATGGTGAATTTCCTTTTGGTACATTAGACTAGCTGTTGATGTTTCTCGCGGCAATCATGGCTGCTGCTTTAGCCAGATTCCAAATGAAGTATGACGATCCGAGTTCGCTTTCGGGTACCGTTGTAACCATTCGCCAAAGTTGCCTCGAAACTTTCAGCAGTACTTGTTTGCAAATAAATTTGTGTTTGCGGCTGTAGGCCAATCTAAAAGCTTCCATGACAAGTATTAGAAAGTCCAACAAATGTTCACCACAGCGACATGAGGCTTCAAACCTTCACTCTCAGCACCCAGAATGATGCGGAGAAATGACCATTACAGTCGTATTCTAAGGAAAATAAAGTGCCTGAAAGTTAAGTGTGGGAACCGGAAATCAAAAAGAAACTAAAGTGTAGCACAGGAAACGGTAAAGAAATGGAAGTGCCAGACGAGAAATGACAAGGAAATTCAGCGTGATTCCTAAATTAAAGGGGAAAATTAAAAGTGAATGAATGGAAATTAGACATAGGAAAATTAAACATGGGTGCAATTGCAACTGAAATCACATACAAGTTACGCTCAAATGAGTGCATTATTGTGAATAACTCAGCCATATTCACAAGATAGATCATCAAACGCAAACCTACCACGAAAGTTAAAATTGAAACCGCAACCGAATGATTCTATACTGCGAAAAACAGAAAGAGTTTTGGGATGGTCGAGCGTGTCTTTCTCTTGGTATGATTTCTATTTAGAGGTCTAGGAGAGAGGACCGGTTTTTTTTTTTTTTGGAAAGAGGAAAATGTAGCGTTTTACTTGACTTTTATTTACATATAACTGAATAATTGCTCCATAAAAAATAGAAAAAAAATTATGATGTAACATTTAAACTCTATGTTCCGGTGTTTATTACTTAATATTTTGTTTTTTGAGAACTTAAACGCTCTTTCTCTATCTTACATTCGTGGACTTCATGTAGAGAAGAAAGTGTATTGAAATTTTGATTAACAAGGTGGCTAAATTGGCCTAAGTGGCTAGGATTAAGATTTATGAGGACACATCATATTTTTTTTTCTTTCGAAAAGTGGAAATGGTGGTGCTTTACTTAAATTTTATTGTGGAACTTTTATTTACATATAACACAATAATTGCTCACATAAATATTACAAAAAAAATTGAATGAATCTATGTTGTGATATTTATTACTTAATAATTCGCTTTTTGAAAAATCAAACTCTCTCACTTCATGTTGCATTTCTTGACTTCTTATGGAGGAGAAGTTTAAGCACACCTAGCCTTCGATTATCGCCGTAGCCAATGGCCTATGTGGTCTAGGATAAGATTTATGAGGGGATACGACATTGGTTTATTTTTTGTTTTTTGTTATTTCGAAAGAGGAAATGGCAAAGTCAAGAACGTTGAGCTTTAATATAATGGGATCTAATGATTTTTGAAAACTGATTTTGATAGTCTTTATGGATTCTACTTACGGTGAGATTTTTGCTACCATGAATGGTTCTCTTTGACTGCAGACTGGTTTGCATAAAGGAACAAAATAGCGATACCATGTTTCCCAATTGCTACCTAAAGAGCTTTGGTTTTGACAAAGAAGCTACACACGTTCAACGATATCGGTTGCTTCTTCTTCTAATGACCTCCTAAGATTTTGCAGACACGCCGCACGAGGTAATGCATCAAACAAGCGCAAATTAACATGCTGATCATGCCCAAACATTACTCCTCGAATGATCGAAAACGCAAGTTGGTGTCCAATTCTCCCTGCATGGTCAAACAAGATCTCTTATTTGTACATCTAGCATATTCATGGCCATCAAACAAACGAGTAGGTTTCGGCTCATAATTTTCATGGACGGCTCTGATGAGTTGAGCATATCAAATGGCCAAAAAGTCATCAAAACACATTATATTAAGCTCAACTTTCGTCAAGTTAAAATCACTTTCTCATTTGCTCTTTTCAAAATAAAATAATCCCCTGCATGATTGTCGATTCCGCAAAGGTCGAGAGGAGGAAGTTTATTTGGCTGAAGTATTCAGAGTTCTCAACAAAAGGAGGACCATCGTCCATTTGCTAGAGGAGATAGAAGTTTTAATGACCGGATGAATATCCACGGTCCCAAAGTTCGTGGTCCCCGCTGGATAAATGAAAGACAGGATATGCTCGAGGTCGGTCGATTTAAGCTTATGGAAGAGCGTGCTCTGTTATTTTATTTTTTGCTTTTCATTTTTAATTTATCTGCAGCAACACCTACGTCATTCCGAATGGGGAAGGGTGACTAGAGCGAAGAGGAAGATAAAAGAGAGAAGAGAAGAGAAGAGTGAGATTTTAGCTAAGCATTTGTAGTGGGTAGTAGTTAGTATCAATTTAATTATTTTGCATTCCTTGAATTCACATGGAGGAGAAGTTTAAGCGTGCCGAAATTTTGATCAACACTACGGCTAAAGCGGCCTATGTTGGCCTGAGCGGCCTAAGTGTTTAGGATTAAGATTTGCGAGAAAATAAGCTGTCATTGCTCACTTAAAAAATAGAAGAAAATTTAGAAACTAACATTTAAACTATATGTTATTACTTAATATTTCGCTTTTTGAGAACTCAAATTCTCTTGCTTGATCTTAAACTCATTGATTTTACGTGAAGGAGAAGCTTAAGGGCACCGAAATTTCGATTAACAATACGGATTGTTGGCCCGAATGGCATAACTAGCTATGATTAAGATTTTTATGAGAGGACATGCCATGGGTTTTTTTTCCTAAAAAAGGAAAATATGTTGTTTTACTTTACTTTTATGTAGATATAACACAATAATTGCTCACATAAAAATAGAAGAAAAAAATTAAGATTTAACATTTTAACTCTATATTGTGGTTTTTATTACTTAATATTTCATTTTTTTTATAACTTCAACTCTCTTTTTTCATCTTGCATTCCTCGAATTCACGTGGAAGAAAAGTTTTAGTGCACCAAAATTTCGATCAACATGGCAGCTAAAGTGACCTATGTTGGGGCCTAACTGATTAGGATTAAGATTGGTGGTGTTTTACTTTATTTTCAATATGGAGATTTTATTTACATATAACACAATAATTCCTAACATAAAAGATAAAAAAAAAATTAGGATGTAATATTAAAACTTTATGTTGTTATATTTATTACTTAATATTTCGCTCTTTGAAAACTTAAACTCTATTACTTCGTCTTGCATTCCTTAACTTCATATAAAGTAAAAGCTTAAGCGCATTGAAACTTTGATAAGTATGGCGGCTAAACATGTGGCCTTTGATAAGATTTGTAAGATGACACAGGTTTGTTTATTATTTTATTTTTTTGGAAAGATAAAAGTGGCAAAGTGAGGGAGGTTGAGCTTAATATAATGGGTTCTGATGACTTTTTGATCGTTGGATATGCCCAACTGATCTTAATGGTCTTTATGGATTTTAGATTTTCTCTGCCATAAATGGTTCTCTTTGCCTTTTAGGACGCTTGGGCAAGACTGAAAATAGAGCTAGGGTGACATTATTAAAGGAGTTTTCTGGGTCTAATCTTGATGACCTTTTAAACGAACGAATATGTTTCGGCTCATAACTTTCAATGACGGTCCCTATTCAGTTGGGCATATCCAATGACTAAAAAGTCATCAAAGCCCATTATAATAAGCTCAATCACCTTCAAGTTAAAATTACTTTTGTCATTTCCTATTTACAAAACAAAAACAAATCCATGCCACTCCACTCCCTTGGAGAAATGAAAGATGAATATATGAGGGAGAGGCTCGAGGCCAGCGAAATCGAGTTTAATGATAAAACTCTACCAAATTATATCTAATGACCATCAAAACAAATAAAGATATGCACACGATAGTAACATGCCTTCGGACTCTGCTTGAACAAATATCATTCTCAAAACCCTGCCTAAGAGGTATTTCATCAAACACTCGATAGGCGTTGACAAATAGGAAAAAAATAAATCAGACTCAGGTTTGCATCCAAAGTTGCAACATGAAATGGCTCATTCAAACTCAGCACAAGCATGAACCAAAAAAGCGAGTCTCGGCCTCCGGTTGAACTAATATAGAGCAGGGTTTCAATTATTCATATAACAAAATAATTGCTTACATATAAAATTAGAAAAAAATTTAGGATGTAACATTGAAACTTTATGTTGTGGTATTTATTACTTAATATTTCGCTTTTTGAAAACAACTCTTTTACTTCGTCTTGGATTCCTTAACTTCACGTGGAAGAGAAGCTTCCACGAACCGAAGCTTCGATAAGCATTGCCACTAAAGCGGCCCATGCGGCTTAGTTTGTTTTATTTTTTGGAAAGAGGAAATAACAAAGTGAGGACGTTGAGCTTAATATAATGAATGGGCTTTGATGACTTTTGGGCTATTGTATATGTCTAACTGATTTTAATAGTCTTTATATTCTAGTTACCATGATATTTTTGCTACCATAAATGATTCTCTTTGCCTTAAAAGGGTGCTTGCAGTCAGGATCACAAATAAAGTCCGAACGAAACCATCAAAAGAGCTTTCTGTGCATAACCTTCGTGGCCATTGAGTAGGTTTAGGTTTCATAACCTTTGTGGATGGCCCGATTAGTTGGGCCTATCCAACAAGCAAAAAGTTATAAAAGTCCATTATATTTAGCTCAATCTACTTTTAGTTAAAAATCACTTTATCATTTCCTCTTTCCGAAACAAAAATAAAACCAGGCTATTTTTGTGAATAACTCATAGCCATATTCACAAGATACATCATCAAATGCAAACCTACCACGAAAGTTAAAATTGAAAGCAAACCGAATGATATTGCAAAAAACACAAATGAAAGATCGAACAAAAATTCGACGGAGTTTTGGGATGGTTGAGCGTCTGTCCCTTGGTATGATTCTATTTAGAGGTCGTGGAGAGACGACCGTTTTTTTTTTTTTTTTGGAAAGAGGAAAATGTAGTGTTTTACTTTACTTTTATTTACATATAACTGAATAATTGCTCCATAAAAAATAGAAAAAAATTATGATGTAACATTTAAACTCTATATTCCGGTATTTATTACTTAATATTTCGTTTTTTGATAACTTAAACTCTCGTACTCCATCTTACATTCATTGACTTC